CTGCCTACCCTCCCATCTGCCTTTTTAACCTGAAGAGCTTTTCATTGGCAATGTGATGCTGTTGGTATGTTAAAGGTATTCCTGGCATTCCCCATCAAGGACATTCCTGGTGCCACTGTCAAAGATAGCTGGTTGATACATTTTGCATCACACAGCATACGACTGGTTCACAGTCAGCCTGACTTACCTAGAGGCTGCTCAATGTCCCGGCGGGCTTTGGGGGAGTAGAAGAAACCCCGCTCTCCACACACCAGGTAGAGAGCCTCCACCAAGTGGGAGCCACAGAGGTGCTGGTTGGCAGCCGCGTGGCTGGTCCCGGGGCCAGAAAGAGCGAGAAGGGCCAGGAGAGGCAGCGATTGGATCCATAGAGCCATGGTGAGCAGTATGAAGCCTAGGGTTAAGAGACAGAGGAGACACAGGGAGGTCTTGGAGGGAGAAATAAGTTGTCATCAAGCATGTTACGTCCTTCAGCTGTTTTGGCATGAAAATGAGGCCAAAGTAACAGGTGGACCTTCTAAAGATTCCCTGGCTTGAGAGGGAAGAAGAGCTTTCTGCATCAGATTCTAGAAGTCACAGTAAATTACTAATGATTGTAACCAGAAGTCCATCTCCGTCCACATGCTCCCATCAGTCCTGGCCTCCCTGCTGTCTTTCCCCAAAAGACCAAACTAGACTGGAAGAGCTATCCCACTGGGCCCTGTAACATACATACCCAGGAGAGCCGAGATCAGCAGACACCTTCAGAGGTAAAACCCTCTCTGTTAAGTCAGAAGGGGCTGTTATTGATGATGATAGCCCAAAACCAGCGCAATGTGCTCAAAGACCTGAGCTGATTTTCTTGGACTAGCGAGCCAGCACTTATCACCACCAGCTACATCAACTAAAAGAGCTCTGCAAAACAGGAAGAAGCTAAAAGGGTGTCAGTCAGACTTACCCAAAGAAGTGGCAGGAAAAGATGGAGAGAAGTTTTCTCCGAGAGATGAAGACTGGTTGGTTGGTAATAAAACCCCCATTCTCTCTTCCCCGTATTTATATGCTTTACATTAGCCCAAGTGACACAAGAGCTAGCGTGAGCCCCACCTCCTTGATGACACTCTAGCCAAAATTTTTGCTGTTTGTGCACATTAATTTCATTCTACGTAGCACTCACGGGTCTTTATGCAAGTTAAGACAGAAGCAACAGTTTGCAGTTTCCATCTCATTTCATCTGACCTGTTTTTGCTTCCCTGAAGCTCTGTCCTGAGCCATCAGTGACCCTTTTAGCAGGAGATAATGGTGCTATTACAGCTGCAATGATTACTAATGACACTAATGCTGGCAATAGGCACTGCTGGCATTGGGGTGGCTCAACAGCTGTTCCTAAAATGTAAAATTAAAGGCAAACATGTTAATCTGTTTGATTAATATCACCTCGGAAAGTATGCAGCGATGGGACCAAGTTGCCAGTGAGACCATGCTACTGTCAGGTGTTAGCGGAAAGAAAACACATTATTGTGCTGAGGCTATCTGCGGCCCCACTCGCTGGCCATGTGGCACACGGCGAGAGACACGCGCCCACAGTTTGGGCTGGGGGAGGAAAAACATCTGCATTTTGCAGGAGACCTTGGGTGGTCATTTTAGCTCAGCGCAGGGCCAGAGTTCGAGCATTTGGAATTTTATATGTGAAAAAATAAGCCTTTCCCCTCCACCCACTGAAAGGCCGGTGCCCTCCTTCATCTGTCAGATGCCACTTCAGATCCTTGTTTGGGATTAAGCAGAGCAGAGTTGCAGTTTCTGCCATTTGCAGGTGAGATCTCTGAGCACCTCAGCTTTTCTCTCTGGGGCTCTGCCTGAAACTGTGTCTTCTACACTAAGAAACATTTCTGGTAAATCCTAGTGAAAACAATGAGAGAGCAGATTATCTCCGTTCTGGCTGGTAAATTCTCTTTAATAAGAGATGACGGGCCAGGGGTGGTCCACTGGCTTTCATGGGTCTGATTTTGGCAACAGATCTTTCTCTCTTTCACAGCATTGCCCCATTCTCTGGATACCTCTGTGCTCAACTTTTCTGCCTCCAATAGCATGCTTGTACCTTCTTTTGCTTAAAGTATATGTCAGATTTTTTTCTGCCTGAAAAGGTCTATTTAAAATGCTGGGGATTAGGTGATCTTCAAACTTCTCATTGCTCTAAATTTTGAGGCTACAAGTGCTCAGCACCACTGAAAAGGACACATCTTCATCTGTTTGAACTCTGCTGCTTGTTTAACTTAAAATAAACCTGATTCTCCATACACAGTATAAATCAGACGGAAGTTCACAGAAATCAGCAGAATGCTTTCAGACTCAAACCAGACCCTTGATTTCTTGGGTAGCCAAAGCAATTCCATCCATCTCCATCTCGGAGGTAGGACATCCCATATGCCCCTGTCATGGATTTAAGTGTGAAGTATCATATGCTTGCTAAATGACTGCGATTGCAAAAAGGCTCACGAGAAGTGCTAAATCTCTGATGAGCATACAGGGAGGGAACTCTTGCTCAAACGGATGCGAGACAAGGTTATCAGTTACATCCCCTGCCATGTAGGTCTTTTAGCCTCCTGCTAATAAATCCAGGTTGTGATGCTCAACTACAGTTAATAGCATTTCTGCACTACGTGTTACACTATCTCTGTCTCCTTTCCCCTCAAACCAGATATTGGATGTACTTGAATGACCCAGTGGTATACCCATGAAGAGGGTCTCAGGTTTCAGCAAGATACAGGGAATTCACTCACTCAGACCTTCTTTCTACCAGGAGAAGGTGAGGAATTATCAGCTACACAGGATAAAATCTGGTATTTTACCCCATTTGAAGGACGTTGTCAAAGCCAGGAGCAGAAGCCTTGTGCCAACCAAGCTTCCAGAGCAGAGTGCCCCCGCCCAGCATTGCACATAAAGAGGACAACTTGCAGAACTAACCTACAGATCCCCTTAGCAGTCGTTTCCCTGAGGTCACCACACTGTGTGAGGTCCAATGGATCTCAGTCTAGTGGTTCCTTTGGAAAACGTCCGGAGCAGGATGTTCCGCAGGCTAATCACATGCTGAGATTTGCCATTTAGGGTTTTCCTTCTTGCACTTTTGAACGTTACCTGAGTTCACCTGAACTCATGTTTTATTGACAGTGGGACTTTGTAAGTAGGCTCCTCTTCTCCCTTCTGGGTAGCTTCCCTGCTGGGCTTCCCCAGGGCTTACCCCACTGACGTAGCAAAAAAGGCTGTTTTATTTTGTGTTGAAAGTGCCATTTTATTAGTCTGTTGTTTCTCTTACTCTTGGCTAACCAAATCCTGGAGGCAGCTTTGAAAAGCTCGTGGCATTTCTGCAGCATGCCCCAACAGGGGAAAGGCTGACTGTACCCAGGCATTTGGGAATCCCTCTTGTCTCGCTGTAGTTTGGGTGCAGAAATAAGCCAGAAAATTTATTGGAAGGAAAAAAGATATCATGCTGGCAAAAAATTCAGTGCAGGCCAATTTTTTTTTGCAAAAGTTTCCTACTATGATATTTTTCCCCCTTCCAAAATATGATCACTTTGATTATTTATTGGAAACTATTTCCTTACCATAAATGGTCCTTTGGAATATGAGAAATGCTAGCAGTGATATAAACGGATATAAAATGGATATAAGCTGCGGAAAGTTTTGTCTTAGAGGGAAAACTCCCATGTCAGCAGTGAATTGAGAGAGGGGGCCAACAGGGGAGACTGTTTCTTGACGGAAAACTTTTTTTACAGAAAATCTCAGCTCACTTTCTTTCCAGGTTGGGCTTCCCCGTGATTTTCATGTGATTAGTGACGGGCCAAACACTTGTGCATCATTTCAGCTAAATGTGCCTTCTGTGTCACCCCCCTAGATCTTCAGCTCCATGTTGGGCTCACTTGGTTGAAGGGTGAAAGTGGCTGGAAAGGAGCGGGCTGCTCATGACTCCTGCCCTTCGTGCTAAACCACCGCTGGACGTGACTCAAAGCCACCTCCCTCACTCACATCCCCCCAACCTCAGCAGTTGCATCAGTGGGAACGAGCTTTAGGCAATCCCCAGTGTCATGTAATCGAGTTTTACAGTCCATTGCCAGCACAATAAAATCTTTACTACTGTAGATGTCTAGCATTTTCGAACCCTGTCCTGAAAAAATAACAAGCCCACTACAGGGGAACTAGTTAACAATTACAAGTTTGTGCAAGTTTTACTGATAGCAAAGGTCAGGTCTGGAGGTGAGTGAGTTCTCGGAGAGCACCTGGGGACCCCAAAATGCCACCCGTGCCCCCTCTGCTGCTCTTACACTCAACAGCCACCAACGGGGCTGCTCTGCCTGTCCCTAGGTGTGTGTTGCCCCAAAAGCAGAGCAGAAAGCAATGCAGTGGTGGCCACATGCCTCCTTTTCCCTGAGGGGTGAATTCGGTGGCTTGTGAAGCACATAGCCCTGGATGAGGTGCCGCCTGCCAATGTCCCCCATGCTGCACCAGCAGCCTGCCAAAACACGTCCCCGAGGCACCCAGAGGGGTCTGCACCCCCAAGAGCAGCTTTTGGGGATGGCTAGTCCCTGGGAGGTGCCCCACTATGGCCACTAGTAGCTGGGGATGTGTAGCTGGGGCAATGCATTCAGGCACATGTGCTGTTTGAGTACAGAGGTGTAGCATTTCACCCAGCACAGGGAAACGGGGACCCTCTGGGGCCCAGCGGTGGCCCCCTCCAGGCTTCGCTCTATACCCCGTGCAGGGTGCAGCAGCTGCCAGTGGCATGGTGCAGCGTGGGGAAGCTGGCATTCTCAGTGCTCCTTGTGGTTTCCAGCAGCAGTGCTTCCGTTGGTATGTCCAAGCACCCATGGAATGGCAGCGTGCAACCGCCCTGCCAGCAGCAGTGGCGCAAGGCGAAGGGCGGGGAGGTGAACCTGGCACCGACCCGGGTGTTTAATCACGGGAATGCTTGCAACCAAATCCTGTGATGCCTGCAGAGATATGTGGCAGGTGGGGCAGCCGGCATGGGCTCTGGGTGGGGAGAGGGGGCTGCTATAGCAAAGGGTGAGGCTCAGTGGTTTATCTGGAGCCTCACAATGAGAGATGCCCTTGCTTCAAAAGGGACATTGTGCAAGCAGATTGGGGAGCCACTCACTGGGATACAAGTAATCTCAGCTGCTTCTATAAACTAATCCGGGTGGTCAACTGGGTGCAAGGCATGTGAGCCACCCCCATTGCCCTGTCAGCCACAAGGCCCAAGGGAGATGCTCCTGCCAGACTGTGGATTTCACAATTTTCCGTGCTCTTCCAGGCCAGGGACATTATCTTGCCGCTTAGGGCACAAAGGGTTGATTCATGAAACAGAGGGTGTAAGCCAAAGCCCGGTGTAACCAACCAGGTCTGACCC